CGAGCCAATTGATTCTTCCCTTAATTTACAAGCCGGATATTCTCAAATACTGTACTTCCATTTGGATTAAAATCTCAAGTCTCCAGTTCTTAAAATTGAAATGATGATCAAGATACTGTATTTTACATTTGAAATTTTGTAAATTTTTTCGAAATTTTATTTATTTTCCAATTTTTTTACCTTTTGTGTTGGTCTGAAGCAATCAATTGTGCTTAATAATCGAGGATTTTATCAGTTTTAAATGTCTAAATTATGATACATTGGAAATTGAAAATTAATTTAAACATTTGGAAAATAATGACTTTCCGGAATTTGAAAGATATATCCTAGGGTGAATCACTGCAGAAAAATGTAGAATGTCATCCAGGTATAATATCGTGAAATAACAGCCAAGATACTCAGAAATAAGGGGGAAAAGGCTCAATAAAAAACGAAATCTGTTTCAGCAAAGCATTAAATAAATTGAAAAATGACACAGTACTGACAGCCATGCTTTGAAAAAATTTTTTAATGGAATTTGAATTCCACACATACTGTTTAAAGATTAATTTTAGGAATAAATTCCATCCCCACTTGATGTGCACCTCATTTTTCACTCTTTCAAGTTACCAAAATTCCATTTAAAAACCACTATATGGTTGAAAATCAAAATCCCAACTCAAAATTGAATTTATATTTGCTTTTTATTTTCATATATGAATCATAAGAAAACAACAGAACTCAGAATTTTGTTAATAGGTAGAATGTTTTCGTTAAAAATTTAACAAACCCATACTTCACGCTTGAATTGCAGCCAATTTTTCACAAATGTTTGACTCAAATACTCGTACCCAAATATGACCTGGTTCTCATTTTTGAAAAAGGTGCTCAATATGTGGCAAATAAAGTTTAAAAAAAACTAAATTGGTATGTTTTTCTCACGAGATCACACGTGAAAATAAGGTAGTGGAACTTAGCAGGGGGCTCCCACCCCCTGAAACGTTTCCCCTAGGGGAACTTGTGATCCATTCCGAACACAAAGAAAAAGTGGTTAGCAGAGGGGTTCTGCCCAGGGAGAGCCCAGACTTGGACTGGGTTCCTTCGCACACCCCGAGAACACATCCAACAAGTGCGTCGATCACTATACAAACGTCTCTCCCTGGACCCAAAAAGCGGGTCACTCATTAAAACAGATCGACCTGTTTCTGTCGACGAGTTCCCCGGGTAGTCTAATTCAAGTCCGGGCGACACTATCGTCTGACCTCGTTGCTTTACAAACGTCTCTCCCTGGACCCGAAAAGCGGGTCACTCATTAAACCAGATCGACCTGTTTCTGTCGACGAGTTCCCCGGGTAGTCTAATTCAAGTCCGGGCGACACTATCGTCTGACCTCGTTGCTCTAAACAGCCATTTTCGTTGAGACTAGCCAAGATTAAAACTAGACACTTTGTCCAACGCGCTTTCGCGACACTCGGAAGGCGCCATCTTGGAATATCGGACATCTTTAGGTCCTCTTCATTAAAATAAAAAAAGGTTTTTTGAATAAAGCTGGAAGGAAAGCCAAAGCAGAGGTATCAACTGGCGATGATGAGGAGCACCGCATCGATAAAAATTGCAGAAGGAGCAGCAAAAATTGCATTGCCTATATTTCATGTTTTACATTTCGACAATCATCACGGGACTCATTCCAGTATTTGTAAACTACTGTACAGTCAACCCCTGTCTAACAGACTTAATTCGTGCGACAGAAAAGTCTGTTAGACAAAAAGTCCTTTAGACAAATTCAATTACATAAAAAATTTAAAATTTAAATCGTCAACACTGATTTTAAACCAAAATAAGTCTGTTTGGCGGGAGGAAAAACTGTCTGCAGAGCTGGTCTGTTAGGCGAAAATTCCTTATGCAGGAGGTCTGTTAATTAGGGGGGGGGCACTGTATTTCACTGATTCCCCGGTAAGATTTAATTCACGGAATGCAAATTTTTATTTTTCGAAAGAGAGATTTTATTTGAAAATCGGAGCAAAATTCCTCCAGCAAGTGCTGAAATTATAAGATTCGATGCTGGGATGTACTGGGCAGTACTTGGTACCATACAGTATTTACTTGAAAACCACGCGACCTCAAGTAAGACACACGCCCCAATTTTTCACCCCGAAATTTTGATGAAATCGTATCCCCGAGTAAGACGTTTAACCCATTTTTCAATGAATAAATAAAAACTACATTTTTTTCCAAAATAGAAGACACAAAAATTCAAATTGAACATAAATTCAACGTGAATTCATTTAATTTTCAATTGTTTCGTGACAAAAATTTCCGATTGTATTCAAGTGTGACATACACCTGTACTTCTGACATTTTTTGGAAATTTTTATTCGTGCCTATGACGTGAACCCGTTCAATGTTTGAGAAAAAAGGTGCGCGTGATACTCAAGTAAAAGCGGTACTTTTAATTAATTAATTGAGAAATAAACCTTTTCCAGCACAAAACATCACACAAGAACTGATTTCACGTTTTCAGTACGGATCACGTACCTCACTTTTTTCATGAAAACGCGTTTAAAAAAACAGGCTACTCACGCAATAAACTCAACATGAACTCATTCATCACCTTCAAATGGGTTTACAATTCCACAACACAAAATTAAGAAAAACAGACAAGATACATTGTTGGATTGAAAAGTCGGAGACCCTTACTGCCTGAGGGCACGAAGGTTAATGCGCTTCAACAAAGACCCAGACTTAATACAGTGTAGAGAAACCAGTATCGAAATTAATGCATTCCGTAGCATCCTCCTTCATTATTTCGATGGTTATCAGTACTGTATTATATTAAGTTGTTCATCAGCTAAGATTCCCAGGCAGTGCTGCGAGAGATTTCTGGTTAAACCGATGATATTGTGATTCCAGGTTTATAAAAAAAGAGTCTTTTGGATGATTGAGGGTACGAAAGACCCCCAGCGACAAACACGATGGGTTCTGCATCCAGATATAGAAAAGAACTCTCCACCAGACTCCCACTCAAATTTGCAAAAAAATGTTGAAGGAATCAGAAAAGTGATTTTATAAAATTGAAACACGCATGAAACATTTTTTTCAGAGATCGCTTGAAAAGAAAGGATTTTTCATGAAAGTACCGGCGAAAAGTAAATTTTTTTTCATCATGCGGGTCATTTAATTTTGGTTATTCCTGGTAATACAAGAGGTTCTGTCCTAGATATGAACCGGAACCGGTTTCTCTGACACATGTACTCACCATACTTGGCTGTAATCCAATTTATATCAAGCTGGAAGAGGGTATTTACGTCTTCATTATGTTTTTAAAGAAACATTTCCAGCCTTTTTCCAACGAAAATAATTCAGCCTTCTTAGTCATTAGAAGAAGATTGGCAGAGTTTCTCTTGAGAACATCTCGGGTAAAAAAAATCGACTCCATGCGGAATTTTTCAAAACACTTCAGAGATTTTTGTGTGATGACCATCAGATCCATGCATTTGACATCTAATGGAAATTATAAGAACTTTCTAGGCATTAAAATAATAAAATTAGCTCTTCCACGTGAGTAATACAAAAATTTCTGTCCAGAATCCAGGCTTATTATTATATACAGTATAATGATTTATTTTTGCAATGCTTTCATGTAATAAATCTTAATTACAGCAATCATCTCATCATCTTTGTGACTTTAGAGAACTGGGCTTCTACTTTTTTATTGCCTAATAGACTATCTCCTCGATTTCCCGGAGTTTTTCCATTGCTGCGTGAGTTTGAGGTGGAAATTAGAATTTATCACGAAACACTCCTGAAGTGAAAACTAAAGAAAATCAAAAAAGCCGCACACATTCAGTCGGTGCAATTCAACATTGTGCTACAATAAAAATTATTGAGCCATCACGTGGCCATTAAAAATATTGGTCCGGTTTCTAAACGAGCTGGACAATTTTAAAGAAAATCACACGATACTAAGAGTTACAAATGCGAAGAGTTCAACACTGATTCGAACATGAAATAATCCTGAAGGGGCGTAAGTTTTGTTCATCAAATATTGGGTAAAAGCCGTGTGAATGCACAGCATACAAAAAAGCAATAAAAGGGAAAAATCAAAACGCATAGTGAAACATGGAAATTGGAATATTTCCCGGCGCATTAGAAGAGTGACACCTACAAGATAGAAGGTCAGTTATACTATTGCCTCCTCGATGCATTACTACTAGGGGATAACAGACTACATTTCGCGAATAATTAAAACTTCCGTCTTGGTGTTGCGCAACATAGATTAATGGCGTACGTAGAACGTGTACTGTACAGTCAAAAAAGTTTTAGTTCACGTTTCAACCATTTCCACATCAAATTGAAAACTGATACTACAAACTACAATCCAGACTTACACTGTCTCACACCAATTTCTTATTCCACTTGAAAATGGAATTTAAAATTACGCAGGATTTATTTCTCTCACCTTTCTACAGTGGCCTCACATATGTTGTTTTCCTTATTACAAGTGGACTATGCAGAACTTATTCATGGATGATAATGTGCATGCTTTTTTCCGTTTGAATTGCGAGCAAATAGCGGATTTTGGCAGTAAAGCGAAAACTCAATTTATGAACAAAGATGATTCAAGTTTACACAGTGATTATCTGCTGATAATCCTTCAGGGTTTATATTTTTTCCGCACAGTTATGCTTCTATACTGTGCTGTACTGTTATCCAAGGTGATGTCAGACTCCGGTCAAAGATGTCGCCAGTGATCCACCAGTTCGCACACCCCACGAAATAAACACAACACCTTCAAAACGTACAATCAAATATTACGACGATTTTTTTTATTTCTTACAAAAGCTGGAATCAAATAGTTGTCACAATATGGATAGTTAGATACAAAAAAAAACACGTCAGATTCCACTTCGGACAACGGAGATTTTTCTCTTCTGCTGCGAAAAACAAAAAAGGTGCTACACACAGCGTGCTGCGGACGCGTTTCTCTCCCCCTCCCTCTCTCTCTTTCACTCACTCTTCTTCTTGAGAATTTCCAGAGAAAAGACGGTTTTAATCGTGATTCAATTAAGACCTTCTTTCTTTTTGCTTTTCGTTTTTACTCTTTTTTTTTAAATTTATTTATGTATTACTGCAAGTAGCCCGAGGAGTAATCCGGCGACACCGTGCGGTTCCTCGGCGTATGACGCAGCAGCACTGTCACGACGATTCCCAGCGCCATGATGCTGATGCCGAAAGTGTTCATGACGATGCCTTCGTCTGTGAAGTCCTTGTACTCGCTTCTGCACCACGATTGAGGAACAAACATAAAAACCATTCCGTTTTTTCTCCTTTTTTCTTTTTCTCTCACTCTCTCAAATACGAAAGCTAATCATCTCGTCTCGCGCCTCATCCCCCCGCCTTTGAAAAAAAAAAACGAAACCCTTCTCCCTTTTGCACACATACACACTCAGGCAATCAGGCGAAAATTCTCACCACCTCTTCACTAATAAGTCTCTAAACGTCATGCTAGTCATATAGGGAAATTGAAACACATGTAACAAACCAACTCGGGGCTATGCTGGGATAATTTGAGCGCGTTCTAAAATATAAAAAAGGCACATTCAGAAAGAGCGCGTATTGAAACAGCCCGTGCCTGAAGGAAAACCACGTCAGAAATTTCATCAGAAGACTAATGGACTAATTTCTTCCCTTTTTTAGAATAAAGCTTTCCAGCTTACATGTTACTTGAAATCTCAATGAATACTATTCTAGGAATCCGAATGCAGAGTTCAATATGTATTTCAGAGCATAAAATTTCGCCCTTGGTTTAAATACTATATTTTCCAAATATTGTACCACATTAATGTAGAAAATGTTTAAAATCTGTCTTCTACTTTAAGATGATTGAAGAATTGATGAACACTTTTATAGGAAAAACGCAATGGACAAGAAAAAAGAAAGGCATTTTCTCTGACGATAAACGAGATGAGTGTCAGTCATTGAAAAATAAGTAGTTAAGATAATCTGCCGTGAATTTCCTGGCCTTAACCAATTAACCTTTCCTTATTGAGAAAACACCTCGAAAAAAAACGATTCAAACGTACTAATAATTTAATTTTTTTTCTGTCTGAGTGAAAGACGTTTCAATACGCGCTCATATTTGATTTTCTGCGTAATAAAAAAAAACCGAAAACACAAAACAAAACGAGCGGGGAAAGGTTCATAATTACTCTTTGTCACCGTATTCCAAGCACAACTTCGCGCATACAACTCGATCATGCTCAACAATTTCAACTACAGCATCACCTCAAAAAAAAATTTGAGTTTTACAAATAAAACGGAACAAATTGAAATTCTTGTCGAGCTCAAGGCAGGGTCAACAACAAAGAAGTAAAACACAACAGAAGCCCGTTCGGAACCAAAAAAATAATAATCAAAATCGGCAACCTCATTTTTGCTTCACAAAATGTTCAAGAAAAGTATTTTTTTTAATCTCTTTCAATTATTCGTTTTCTTTCATCCTGCTGTGCGCGCTTTCAAATTTAGCAGAAATAAAGCGGGAATAAACTCGCCAAACCCCCAATTCGAATCAATAAAGAAACGAGCCGAAATTTACGAGGGAAAACAAAACGCACAAAAAAACCATCTTAAAACAACAACAAAAAACGAGTTGCCAGTCATAACCTTTTTTTAAAAATTAAATTATTAATATTATTTTTCTTACTACTCTTTCGTTCTTCACAGTCGATCATTCGCTATCAGCAAATGCGTTGCTCTGCGGTAGCGGTAGACTTCTCTGTACAAAATCTGCGGCACTACAATCGCCAGTCCAGCCAAAACCACGCCGAAAGTGTTCAAAATGATCGCCTCCTCCGGCATATCTTTGTACGGAGCTGTGTCGTTCTTCCCGCTAATATCACGAGTGTGGGAACCAGATCCGAGGTGAGGAAGGTAAAGGAATAGGGGTGGGACAAGGAAAGCAAAAAAGAAACCAAAAAACAATAGTATACACCACCACACAAAATAATGGGTTCTCACTAGTAAAAAATGAATTAAAATGGGTGCCGAAAGTTGCTTCGATTCGACATTTGCGTCTGATTGCAAACATAGAAATTATTGTTTCCCAAAAAATAAATAAAACGGCATTCATAGTTTTTTCTTTCTTCGTCTTTTCTCAAGATGGGCTAGGATTAATCATCACGCGAAAACATGTCAAAGACACAAATAACAAGAGATTGAAGGATTGAAATGTTTGCATCAAAACATGGATTTTTCAAAGCATTCCTATGGAGAAGTGACAAAAGATGCAAGGAATCTTTTTTTTTTTACCGAATAGTTAATTCGAAATTAATTGATATGCTGAGAATCATTTCTCCTTATGACTTGGTTTTATTTTCCGGGAAACACGATAAAAAAATTATCGACCAAAAAGCATTCTTCATTAAATCAATCCGAAACCTCTGCGGTTTGCAAGCATGCAAAGGGGATTTTCTTAATCCAATTTTCGATTATGATACTTATACAATACTGTACAATGTATAATTAATGTCGCAACAGAATCCATCAGAATGCTGTTTACATACAAAAAGCACGTGGCAAATTAATTTTTTTCCTCTCTCCTCTAAAAATAAAGTTTATACCGAAAAAAATCGATCTCGTATGGCAAACAGATACACACACCTTCTTTCGAGCTTAAATTTAGTAAAATTGAAGAACTTATTCAAGATAATGTACAAAATTTCTAAAGTTACTCAGCATAAAAAAAAAGCGTTGAACAGTACGCGCAAAAACGAAAGTTAATGCTAAATATACTGTGATGTACAGCTTGAAATAAGCAGCAAGGTTTTGTAATCGTAAACCCCCCGATTGTGACGTATTTGTTTCAAATACAGTATTTTAATTGAAAGTAACTCGAGAGAGACGAATTTGTAAAAATGAACGCTTGATTCAGGGCAATGCATTTTGGCAAACATTTTTCTAGAGCAACTGATTTAAGACTTCGGAAAAAAAACCCTCAACAAGCTGAAAAAAATCAAACCCAATATATACGCTTCGGATCATTTTTAAAAAATAAAGTGACCCGTATTCCTCAGACTTTTAATCTTCTGAGATTCAATTCAGGCATGATTTAAAAAAAAAATCAATCCTCAGATGAGTCAAATCTAACTCACCAATCACCCGCTCAATGACTATTCCGCAGCTAGAGATTAACGCCAAAAAACTCGCAGAGGTTTCACGAAATACCCGCAGATGTCGCATCGAAGCAAGCTCTAACTCATCCAGCAACTAACTTTGCTCTAAGTCTAACCTATGCTCTCAATCGCATGCTCATGTGCACAGAAAATCGATCTAAAAGACCGAATGCTTCATTCTCTTCAAAGTGCAAACAAACAAACGAAGCGACTATATATAAAAGCACTAAAAAAAAGCAACAGGCTAAAGAAGGAAAACTCACTTGAGTCCGAAGATGGCCTTTTCAGTGACACCAGTGACGGCCGTTGCGATGGCGAGCATGAAAGTTGTCAATCCCATGGTTCCATGGATGGGAACCAACGCAGCCCGAAAGGCGCCCGTGGCACCTTCGCAACACAAGAGGATGAGGAAGCTGAAGAATCCCACCACGAACTGCGAAAAAAATCGAAAATCAAACGGAGATTAAATTACCGATTTCCTAACATCATCTTAGACAGTCAAACGCAATAAGCAAGAATATAACGCTTCCCTCATTTATACCAAATTGATTATTATTTTTTTGAGAAGAGATGGTTCTTCTATTGTCATTCGAACGCTGATGTCCCGACCATTTTGTCAAATTTCCGCTCACAGGTTTGCATAAAACTAAAATTTGAAGAAAATATCGTTCAATTTTAAAGAAACACCAGCAAAATTCCGAATGAATCCCAAATCTATTGTTGCTGAAATAATGCTCCTTTTTCTTCATGATCTCGCACTGTACTCGCACGCGGGTTTACCATGAAGAAAAAATTGTGATTGTCGCCTTTATCAAAATACTTTACTTCAAATCAAAAAAGCTACAACTTTTATCAAACATCATGCCAGCCTTTAAAAAAAGAATCACCCTCGGGGAAATGGTGAATCGCAGAGAAATAAGGTGCTCCCAAATTGTTGTGTATACTTGAACAATCGCCTTCACCCTACAATACTCAGGAAAGTCAGATATACAAGAATTGTACTGTCTCAGAATAAATATTCCGATCAGCACAACCAACTACAGTGCTTGAAAAAAATTAATTACGAGGAACGAGCAGAAATACTGTGCACTATTACATGCTTCCAGAAAAAACCTATGGATTATTTGGATGCATAATATCTAGACGAGTTTTTCTTGAAAATGAGGAAAATCATGAGAGCGTCAAAACAGAATTGGGAGAGCGGCATTATAAATAAGTTTTCGACAAAGTATAATACGTTACACTCATTCTTTCCCAGGAGTTACGAAAATATTGCCACTTGAAATTATTTCCTTTCAATACCGAAGATCATTTCGAATTACAACTTGAAATTTTCAATGCACCCAAAGATCATCATCAACTCGCAAAATTTTCAGCAGGACTTGGATTCGAAAATTAAAAACTAAACTACTTTATACGCAAAAACGACCAACGGAGTGAAAAGAAACGAGCCGGAGAAAAACGAAATTGAGAAATCATCAAGGAAGATAAAAGTGAAAAACATTCAGAAGCATTTCCAAAACGGCGTGCGGAAGAAAAATTGATAAAATAACCTGGTCAAACTCAACGAAAAAATAAGAGATCCAAACAAATTGTACGAGGGCTGGTTCATAAATTCTGGCAATTTTTCATCATTTCTAATGAAAGGTGGTTAGATGTAGACCAACTCTTTCCCGAAGAACACTCATTTTTCAGCATTATTCCAACTTTGCCTACATCCACTCTAAAATTGAGAGAAGACGGAGATCCATAAGTACCCCCCCCCCCCCCGGTTGCTTCAGAAACCACAATTGCATCTTTCATAAATTAACAGGTGGTCTTTGTTTCACCAAATATTACTAATATTGTGTAAATGAATGCAAAAACATGTATTTTGAAATTACACAGTTGACTCAATAAGCATGCGCATAATCAACGAACTCATGGGATTCCAAAAAAACAAAACAAATTAAAGTGATGACAGTGCATCTTATAATGACACAAAAAATCGCACTAATTTTTGAGACACACATACACAGAAAAATCAGATGTGTGCCTCATGATCATTGGCTTCTCATGTTGAACCAGCCCTCAATTACTTGGTCAACAAGAAGGAGAGACAAGTGAGGGTCAAGCCAATTACAGCTTCCCCATTCTCATTTCCTTGCCCCTCAACGTAAAAAAAAAAACAATAAAAATCAACAGCAGCAACAGCACCAATAGCAGCAGCAGCAGCAGCAGCTTCAGCAGAAGACGCAGGGGGTGAACAAATGCGAGTCCAAAGAAAAACGTTTCTTTGCACAAAGGCAAAATCCGCAGTTGCGCATTACCGAGCGAAATACCTGGAGGGCGAAAAGTCCCATTGTGGTGAGTCCGAGCCACGAATGCAGCGAGTAGAAGTGCGGGATCGGAGGGCTTTCCAGGCTGTGGTAGTCGTAGACTGCGATGAACCCGACCACGATGCACGGGATGGACAGCATGTGCAGCACGGTGTGGGCCAGCTTGTTGTACACTCGCTTGCAGCAACGGAATGACCGGTAGACGAGCAGTGCTGCAACCAAAATCACCACGAGTCAGAACATAAAAGAAAATAAAAATAATAAAAAAAAAAACCCTCATCAAAGCAAAGAAATTTAGCTGACCCTAAAAGAAATTTTCCTATCGATGCCCAAAATAATTTCGAGAGAAAAAACGTCTTCACAAGCTGATACAGTTGAACCTCGATTACTCCAACCTCCCTAATTATATTTCTTTTTTATGGGCAAGTCCGTCGTGCCTTGCCTATTCAGGTGGAAATAGATAAATTAAATTATACAATAATTAGATTCTTGGAAACTGCCAGAGGGGAATCCAGACACGGAGTTAAAAAAACATAAACAATTCGACAAAGGGGGAGGTTTGAGTGATCGAGGGTCCAAGTCTATACATCATTCTCACATTGGCCCATGAAGAAGATGAAGCCTGCAGTCATGAGCACTGGGTGGAGATTGAACTGTCGCTTGATGTCATCTTGCCAGGCGAAACCCTTCCTGTAGTAGACTGCCCAGAAGATGACGAGCACCGTGGCTCCCCAGATCAACGTCACGGCGATCAGCAACAAGAACCCGAATCCGCATCTCGTGGCTCCTGTCCATTCGTCGTCGTCCTCCTCTACCGTCTTCCTATGCCTATTGAAATTATTTAAAAAAAGAGAAAATAAAACAATAACATTAAAACCGTAAATCTTGAAAACATCCTCTCTTTCAAATACAATTATAATTATCAAGACTCTGGAAGAGGATTTAATTTTCAGTAGTCCGTCAAGTAGAATTGACCGTTTCTGACGACGAGCCAGATAGCGATTCGAGTGACACCTATCCGGTATTTCATAAAACTCCGCGGTACGGAAAAGTAAAAATGACCGAAAATATCCAACGCTTGGATGAATACAATTTCAATCACGGGAAGAGTATTCAATTACTGCAGTTCGTCATATAAAATTGAGTAATATGTAGCGTTCAATGATGAGAGAGTTATTCGAGTGACACCTGTCTGACATCTCGGAAAACGTAATTCGTCAGTTTTTTTCTGCTCGCCGCGTTACGCACTTAATCCTTGCTGAAAAGTCGAGACAATTTTCACTATTCAGAAAAAATGAAATGTCGAATAAAGCACTTCATTCCGACACCGTAAAAGGCGTATTGGTGTAAATAAAAGTAAAAAGTTCGTCTGGATAACTGCCTGAAGAAATATAGCCGAAGGCCGCGCGGCACCCGGACAAGCCTCTTTCTCCTTTCAACTTTTTTTTTTCCCCTGCGCTCGCTGCGAACTGTACTGCATTTATCAGTTGCTGAAAGCGTTGAGAAAATTGCACTCATTAGCGACACACATTCATTCCAAATTTGCTCCTCAATTTTTATTTTACTTTTGTTTTCCTTTGAGCCAGCTATTTTCCCTTTCACTGGTGTGACAGACCACGAGCAGGAAAATTATCCCCGTCGGCGACCACCGATTCGCTGCTCTTTCATCTGCAGCTCGAAGCTTTTTCGTCGCGCTTCTCGCTCCTCACATCCGATCATTTGATGCATGAAAGGTAATGCATTCGACATTATTATTTTTTTTAAAACCAAAACGAAAGGGAAAACAAAGAGGTCAGCTAGTCATACTGGTCAAATGATAGTCGAGAAAATTCTGCATTGTACTCGAGGAAATATCGAGAAACGAAGGTTTCGGAAGAGTTCAATGCCTACGATCGCCTTCGCATTTAATTTTACAAAATAAAACAGGAAGTCGCTTATCGAAGCTCGTGTAACATATTCATCTAAACTGATTATATTGAAACATCTTGATTCTATAGTGAACCAAAAAAACCTTCAAATTGAGTAAGGATGACCAATTATTCGAACGCCGGTTAATTTTTTTTTCAATTTTTTTTGCAAGCGGGACTGTGATAACAATTCCGAAGAATTAAATTAAAACTGAGCTCAATTATTTTCACGATGTTCAATTTTTCAAAATAATCAGTCCCCCCCCCCCCCAAAAAAAGAGCTTTCGAGTCGATAAAAAAGCGTCATCGAAAATGTGATTCATGTTAGCTTTGAGCATTATATTTTTCGCGCTTCGTGGGCATAACGATCATCAAACACGAAGTCCTTTCTAGAAGAATTATGTTCAAAAAAAATTGAAGCGAACTGAGCTCGAAAAAGGACATTATTAGCTAGCTACTTTTCACAGATGTCTTGAGAAATTGACGCGAAAATTCCGAATGGCCTTTTTTGAAATTTTAAAGCAATTGAAGAGGAACACCATCAAAATCTTGGTGGCTCTTTAAGGTAGATAATGTGTCTGAAGAGACATTCAAGTTTATTATTCTTACTATTTTATAATGCAAGGCACTTCAGATTCGCACTGCTTGTACAAGAACAATCCTGGAACAATGGGGGTGTTCGACCCACAGTGTTTATTTGGTTGCGCTTGTTTCGAAAAGATGCGACGCTGTTTGACTTTTTTTTTAACGCTGACATAAAAAACGAGCGTTTTTATGCGTGGACAAGCCGGTGTACGTTAAATTGATGATTAGCACGATTAGAACACTTTTTTCACTCTAGTCAGTATTGTGGTCGTTACACGGAAAGTCCCCATTTGTTAAGTTAGTTTTGACGTATAGTAACATGGTACTGCTGTTTTTATTACGTTTTTAGGATTTCCTTTTACAAATTTAGTCTTTAAAAAAAGAGAAAGTTCAATAGGTACTGGTTTGCACTACTCTCAGTTTAAAATTTTATCCTCGTTCGTAAACAGAAAAAAAAAACGCCACTTTCGCTTCAGCTAGTTTTGATTCGATGAGGACTTATCCTGTTGAACATTTACGGGCGAAACCCGTCATTAAATCGATTTGTAAAGTTCGTATGAGCAATCTCTAAAAAAATTAATTTTTTCTAAAAAATGCGCTTCACAATTATCATAAATCATACTCAAGGAGAATATAAATCCACAGGCAACTACTCAGCGACAGTGCGTTAGTATGTTGAAATCACAGTGAGAACCCCTGGGAAAGAAAACGGGATTCTTTATCAACTTTGTGGGAGGAAAGCAATCTTACTTGAGTAAACAAGGATAAGCTTTGCAACTTGATCAAAACCCGCTTTTTTTTTCTTACCAAACTTGAAACTGAGATAAGCATTGGAGTTTTCGACAAACACGAAACATCTTCTGAATGAGAAGGAAGAGGGTCAGGAGTTTCTCAGATTAGAGGAGAAAGTAATCTACAAAAATGGGGGTTTGCCATTTAGATCAAATTTATTTTTTGGCACCTTGAGACACCTCAAAGCTATTGGCGCACCAAAAATTTTATTCAATGCACGGGATTTGATTCAAATCCAAAATTTGGCGAGCCATAATTTAAAGAATCCTTATAAATTTCATTTTTCTTCATTCACTGACATTCACTGATACACTGTAAGTATACACAAGGAACTTTTTATTCGTTACTATGGCCTCAGGAATAATTAGACAAAAGCATGAAAATGCAATTTCACACACAGTATTATTTACAGAACTACATAAATCGCTTCATTTCCTTCTCAGTCAGATTTCAAGACAAAGGCAGCCCCAATGATATCAAGACCGAAGCATCGATTTCCTTGAAAATACTGAGGTTATACTGTATAACTTATCTTTTGCAAAGAAAAAAAAAAGGAATCCAAGAATATTGCGCAGTCAAAAGTTCCACAACGCTTCAATACTCAACCTTTAATTCATGAAAAATATGCGAAAATCAGCAGACATCAATCATTTCGGTAATTTATCTCGACTTCCAACCCGCGGTTATTATCGCAAGGGTAACATGTACAGTATACATAAACCTCGTTTCTAAGAAACATCACTCAAACAGTTGATAAGAGTACCGTTAAATATAATTTAGATAACGCGCTCGAGCGAAGATTGAAAATGCATCTCGCTCATCTGCAGAAAGATTCTACGAAACCCTTCCGAAAGAAAAATTGAGTGAGTCACTAGAAAAGATATTCAAGTGATATGATAATCAATACCACGTGTTCCAGATTTTCCACTGATAGAATAACTTTCGAAAAATTTAGCTTAATGTCCCAAGGAAAAAAACGCGTGGGGGCGTTTCAGACCGGTAACTGAACACAGAAATCGGATCCCTAGAAGTACATTATTTGAAGTTGCATGTGCTCTTAATTTTTTTTTTGCTGTGTGAAAGAATTGTCACGCATAAAGCACAACAAAACGGAGAGTTTCAGTAATTTTACTGTAATGTGCAAAATAAAAAAGCCGAGTTTTCGCGAAGTTCAACTTTTCAAGTCTCGGGTGAAAACGCACGCGAAATACATATGATCTTCTTCACATGATTGCCTTGAAAACTTTGCGTCAACATCGTTGAAAGCGAGAAAGAAAGGTCCTCGATTTCACAAAAATTTCAGATAGAACCCTCGAAATTTTAACTCTGCAATGCTCATTCACGAATAAGAATATGGGTTTCGAAGTTGCAGGGCTTGCACATTTGAAACGGATCAGCGCAAAATTAAAATGAAACGGTAACTGAGAGTGACATCTACCTAACGGAGGAATGAATAGATCAGATTACTTTTTGCACAGTTACGACCTATGGGTTGAAAGGTTTCGAATTATGACATGTCATGAAAGAATATGTAGGGGGTTGTGGTAGCAATACTTAACCAATGCGTACGGAATAGGACCATAATTCACTTTCCCTTGTCTTCCATTTTAACATGTCCCATAAAAATGATTGCCTTTACCTTCAGTGTTATGCTTTGCAAGAAAGCATTCCTACTACGCTAGTGGTTTTGCGCAAAGTTGGTTTAGGCTGTTCTTAATTTTCGTCAAAGACCGCGTTAAAATTAGGCGTCCGCTTGTCCATCTTTGCTCTTTGGAGTATAAAAATAACAAAAACATTGCTAAAAAATCGTAAACGAATACAGATACAGTATTACAGGTCGAACGGCCAGCAAATTTCGTGACACGAAAAAAAAAAATTAACTTCACGCCGATTTCTTGCGATTTTTGCAGCGGGACTTTTTACGGATACAATATAATATACATGGCTCCACTCCTTAAAAAAAAAACGCTAACATCGAGTTGCCTTCGATTTTATTGGTTCACATATCAATGCTTTATTTTTGGGGATCGAGATCAAGAAACGATCATGCAAATTTCGGGGAGCAAAAACGTTTAAGCAAAATTCCCTCGTATCTCCAGCTGCGAATATAATCATTTCTTTTCCGATAAAAGCCCGCAAAAAGTATCACAGCATTACTCTGGAGTCTGGACATGCAAAAAAAAAAACGAAAATCAGTTTTTCTCCAGTATTGCATATTCAAGCAATTCTTTTATAACGGGGAGATTGGTACTTCTTTCAACTGTCAAAATGAAAAAAAATGAGACCACCGAATGCGGCTATTAATTCAGAATGACATAAAAATAAAAATTCGAAGAATGCAAAAGTCGAAGGACATTCTCGGCAAAATTCCCGGATTGCCATAAATTTAAAGAGATTTGCAAAAACACAAGGCCAGAAATAATGCACCGAAAAGGTCGATTATTTATCTGTGTCAGGATATATCACATACGAAAAAAAAGACCAAGATTATAAAATTTTTTTACGTCAAAAGAGCTTTGTGTCGTGAGTGGTTTGGCCGGCTCTTTGTTAGTAGCGTAGTCTTGGATTAGTTCGTTGCGTAAAGGTTATTACATGTTTATGGACCCGATACTTAGCTAATTAAAGGGCATCGATTCAAAAACAGAGGATATTAAAACTCGACAAAGAAAGACCGATAGAAAATCTCATGCCTCATCAAAAATGCGCTTGAAAAAAAAAATGGTGTGGAATAAGAACCGTTTGCGTCATTCAAAATTAACCGATTCACACAACAAATAAATCTCACTCTGTGTTATTGCTTCCAGTCCTCGTTTTCATCTCCATTTACACTCCGAATTGAATCTGACGTTTTTCAAACTTAAACAAAAAGAAAAGACCCAATCACGAAACACTCGTGTAGAGAACCTGATGGACGGAGAAAAAAAGCAAGAAAATTTCATTCGAAACCGAAGCAATCGCGAACATATTTACAGTGACTGATTTTCATAAAGCATCAAACTTAATTCAAATAAAATAACACTCGTGTAGAGAACCTGATGGACGGAGAAAAAAAGCAAGAAAATTTCATTCGAAACCGAAGCAATCGCGAACATATTTACAGTGACTGATTTTCATAAAGCATCAAACTTAATTCAAATAAAAGCTCATGAACCGGCAATGCCAGGAATAAACAAAAACGAACATTTTCTTGAAATTCAAAAAAGCAATCCGAAATTCGACACATACGAGGGATAGTTCTTAACTTTCGTCAGCACATTGAAAATAAATCGTTCGGGCAACCAATTTTCTTGGTCAGAGTCCTCGAATTATTATTTTTTTTTGCATAACAGAACAAGACAAAAACGGCACTATTCATTTGACGAAGAATTCCTTCAATTTCAGCAACAAATTATTTTCACGACAATGGAAATTTTAGAAAACCTTTTGAACGAAATACGAGTAACAGGAATATCGATGAGATCAGAAAATCGTTTCTACACAAAGATAAGATACTCCTGTTTGAAATATTCACCAGAGAATTCATAAATCATTTGGTAAATCTCATTTTGAACGGCGATGAGGTGCACTATAATTTTTTTTTCTCTACAGAAATTGAGAACAGTGAGCGTTAATTCGTCAAATATTAATAAAATAAAACTATGTCCATTTCCATCCATGACTCCAAAACAGGGGGAAGCAACAAGACAGACGAAAAAACTTGTGAACCAACCCTCGCAAGAAAAAAAGCCCCCATTTCGCAGTTTCGAAATGTGACGAAGAATTCGATTACGCGGCATCGTAATTGCACCAAGTCTCAAATGATTTCATTAAACGTTGCTCAGGGAAGGAAATGGGGAAGTGAAATCCGACCCACAAATCGCGCAATACCGACCAACAATCACGATTCGGTCTCTATACAACCTCAGCTTGCAACACAATTCCAAAGCGAAACTCTGTTCACTTCCTTTTTTAAAAATTCTTCCTTTTTTCTTTTGGCACAGAGAGCTTTTAAACGGTGTTGGCGGAATCAAGGATACAAATTTAGGCGCTGCAATTAAACTTTTCATCCAGTTAAAAGAAATACAGGTGACCCAAAACAAGATCAATTTGCGGAAAGGTTGGAAGCGAGAATTCAATCATATTTCGGGGTCGAAAATCTGGGGCATCCTTTCCTTCATTTCAATAACTTGCTTCAGTTTGACGATCGTTTTCTCAATCAAGTTAATTCCTGATATACGGGGCATTTTTTGGATTCTTCTCGGAAGAATTTTAATCGAAGCTATGTCGAACAATTCTTTCCGTGAATTCCTTTTTCTTCCCTATCATGACTAACGAAATTCGATTAAAAAATTACTGTATAGGCTTTCCTTCTTCTTCTTCGGATCTTTAAAAGTCTCCGCAAATATCATGCCCGGAATTTTTTAGATCTTCAAGAATCTTTCAAAGTTATATCGTCATTAAATTATCAACATACGGTAGAAAGGAAAGACAACCGCCATAGGTTTCAAAATTTAAAACGAATGCTGGTTTATAAATCATCAGATTCCTGACGATAAGTTTACTCTTCGCGAAACAGATACATCCGGAAACAAAAATTTGTTTCGATGCAAAAATGACCTAAAATTTTTAAATTTTGGAATAAGCACAATCCCTGAGAATATTTCACAGATAGTAGATCACCAAAGAGAAGAAGCTGATTAAAACCAAAACGTGTCATAGATGTAATGAAATCATTGCTTCATAACCCTCATAATGCGTTTAAAGTTTTTTATTTATTGAAAAAAAACTGGATCGTAACGAAAATTCCAGCATGAATGAAACATTCTGATCGAATTCCGTGCATTGAAATCGTCAAGATTCGTCCACATTTCCTAACGACTTGAAAAAAATAAACCAAACCAGATTCGAATGAAATCTTGAAAATAAATTCAAGCCCAGGATTTAATGAGGAGTTTCCGAGAAATTCTCATCACATATTCAATCTCTCAACGAATCCCCCCCTCACGAAGAAAATATTATCCCGAACCGACAGAAAAGTGAGATGTTATCCAAGATTTGGGTCAATTGAATTTGTTCAACGCTGACGCGGTCATGGGCAAGCGATGAAATCTTCTTTCACATTGACGTAAAATTTATTACCTTCCCCAGAAAATAAAATCCCCGCAAAACGGCAACACTCCGCGAGCACGAGGAGAAAACTTCACCCAGGTGGCAAGAAATCACGGAATCCGTCGCTCCAAAAGTTAAATAATTACGAGGTTTCATAAAAAAAAATATATATAAGGGGGGAGATATAACATAAGACACCTGATTCATGTAGATTAACAAAAACGAAAACTGGAGCCACTCGCAAAAAGGGAACACTAAAGAGAAAATGCAAGAGAAAATCACTAGGCCGCGAATTGGTTGCATCACTCAGCGGTTTTCCTTCTCCACACCTTCGCGACTTCAGACAAATAACAACGTTATCCTCCAAAAAAAAAAAAAACGAAAAGAAAAATCTCGTTCAAACCCCCGCTCGCTT